CCACAAAGGATCAAGGCACTGCTGATCCAATTCAATGATCTGCTTTAATTCAATAAACAATACATTTGCTTATGTATGAAAATACTTCTGTGTGTTCAGAAGCCACTGCTATTGGCACAATGCATGGCAGCTGTTCCATCCTATAGATACACATAGTCTCTATACTTCACAGCATCTCTTCAAAAGGGTATGTGATGAGCTGCAATCAAATTAATTGCCAACAAATTGCCGTGTGTCCTCCATGAAGGGTTGATATGTTGCGGAGCATTCTTGGGAATGTGCCTAATCATATTGCTGGTTTACTTGATTCTAAATTGGCATGAAAGCTTACATTAAAGTATACTAATATAACTGTGGATTCCTGGGGAGCTGATAGCATTGGGCAAGGAAAGCTCTTAAAAGTACTTATTTGTCTTTGCAGTTCTCCTTAGTGAAGAACTCCAGCTGAGTTTCTGAAGGGAGTTAGCAAGTTATATTTCCAAAATACTTTCCTACTTGTATGTTGAAGTGATTATCCTGAAATGGGACAGCAGAGTCCTTCTGAGATCCATTCCATCCAGGAGAAAATGCTACACCATGATTTGAATCTCAGGAGTGACTGGGGGGATGCAAGTCACCTGCATCATCTCCCTTGGTCCCTCTCTTGTTTTCTTTCATTCTCAGAGGATGCAGGCTAGTGAAGTGCTGTTTTTGAGGAACATCTCACAAGCTATTGCATCTCTGGAGATGGCCTACCCAGAACTAAGTCTTCAGCATCAGCTTTCCCCCTTTTAGGTGTGTGGAGGGATTTCAATTTTATCATCCCAAATGGATTGACTGGAAGTGATGGGAAATAATCTCTCCAGCTTTCAGAGGGCAGTGAAAAAGCTCCATTCAACTGCAGAAAGCTTAATTCTTCCATTTGCTATCTATCTAAATGTTAGTAGTAGTCCTTGGGTTATAATAGCAATTGGGACCAGGATTGCCATTACTAAATAATGCAGTTGTAAAACATAATATCACATGACCCCATCACTTAGCAATGACAATGATAATGACAGAAAACTCTCATGTCCACAAGATACATTAAGCAGGAAGTGGTAAAGAGTCCCAGGTGCTGTGGAGTGTTGGGGAGACCCAAATGTGATGAGTCCCCTGGATGATTCCCCAGATGCCTGTCCAGATGCTATTTCTGAGGAGAGGGATCCAGCAACCAAGAGTTACAAGCCAGAAGTGGAAGGGCTGAACACAGGGGAGCAATCAGACAAGCAGCCGACTGAGCTAGAGACAGGAGAGACAGAGCTGCAGCTGGCTTTGGATGGAGAGGACACAGGGCTGCAGCTGGTCAGTGGACATGAAGAACTACCTCCTTCTCCAGATTTGAGAGCATGTAGGGCTGAGAGGAGGCAAGCACAAAGAAGGTCAGCCAGATTACTCATGAGGAAGAAGCCTCACCCTTCTTGATGAGTTGCACCAAGAAGCAATTATTTAGTTCAGCAAGGGGAATGAAATGACGCTGGGAACAATGGGTCCATTTCTTTGCTGTGTGTTCTTGCCTTGCTCTTGCCTTGTGGATTTGCCTTTGCCTTGAGGACTTGCTTTTGCCTAGTGGATTGGTTTGCCTTTGCCTTTGAGGACTAGTGTTGGCTTCTTGTGAGTAGTCTGAGGAACCCATTGGGGTTAAGCTGGTGCTGGCACAAGGGAATACTAATCCAGGTTTGGAAGCCTTAGTAAAGATTCCTAACATCTGTAGTGTGTAAGTGTGTGAGTGTGAGCAGACCAGCACAGGCTGTATGCAAGTTGGGGGATGCTGGGAGAGGGGGAGTTGCAGCATTGCAAAAGTGCAATAAAGCTATAGGATGGAAGGCATGGTGCCAGTCAAATGCAGGAAAGCCAGGGGGACTTACTGGAACAATGTGCTGGCTTCCTCATTGACTTTGCTTGTGGGAAACTGGCAGGGAAGGTCACAAATGGTGATGAAATTACTACATTTCTCTGCACCATCATAATCATGAGCATGGGATCCAAATGTCCAGATTACAATCATGTGTTGCAATGATGACAATTCCAAGGATTGGTTATACATCAATATTTCAACACCATTGTAACAATGAATGGTCACTATGAATGTAAGCTAGAGGACTACCTATATTTATTTATTTATTTATGAGACTTATATACCGCTTTAAGTGCAAGCACTCTCTAAGCGGTGTACACCAGTAAGCAATGTATATATATATTTACATTGCCCCCAACAATCTGGGTCCTCATTTTACCTACCTCGGAAGGATGGAAGGCTGAGTCAACCTTGAGCCGGTGAGATTTGAACCGCTGACCTGCTGAACACAGTCAGCTAAAGTGGCCTGCAGTACTGCACTCTAACTGCTGCACCACCTCAGCTGGGGATTACACAAAAGTATTATTTTAGAGAGTTATTGTACCATAAAGTTTGAGAAACCTTATTTTAGTCCAATTTATTTATTAGACTAATTTATTTATTTCAATCTCTTTATTTCTACCCTGGCATTGTCCCTCAAAGCTGTCAGACTCTCAACAGGTTTGCAACAAAATGGTGCTATGGTACCTAGAGGGCAAAATGCAATTTATCTTTGATATAGTTATTTCCTTTACTACTCTGCAGAATCTAGCATGTCTTCAAAATCAGCTTGTTGAAAGTTCTGGATTCTTTTATATTCTATTGAAGGCAGAGGGATTATAGAGAGGAAGAGACACAAACATAATCTTCTGAAAGAAATCAACATCTGTTGAGAGACGTCGATAGCCTATGCCACCATCACTTTTGAGAAGGGAAAAGTTGAGAGTGTGATTGTCAAAGTGCTCTCATTCATATTTTTAAGTTTCTGGGGGCCTATATAGTGGGTTTACTCTTCTACAAATAGAGGTGTTGATAATATGCTATTATTCAAACATGAAGCCAGGGGAGATTGAATCAGCAGAACTGTACTGTTTCTGGGATGATTCATTATGACTACTGATGAGGTAATCACATGCACTTATCAATAACAATACATTCTTTCAATAGCATTAGTTGCTTCACATAAATGGCTAATTAAAAAAGAAAGAAGAAGATTGACAGATATTTGGAAGACTGAACAATTACTGTGTTCTTAGCATGCAGTCACATCTTGGGATTAATGGAGACATTTTCCCTTATATTATTTTCAAAGCTCAACTAAGGAGATGTAAGGCTTTCCCCCCAAATCAAGTTCAAGTGCTATCTTCCAGACCTTCAGCCAGCAGAAAGATACACTATTGTAAATTATGTTACCCTTTGCCAATTCCAACCTCACTTTAGTTGTAAGGCTGAAGAATGGACTGTACTAATTTACTAAAAAAAAAAAGAAAAAAAAATATGATTACCTGCTGGACAGAAAAGCAAGTATCATTCATGCTCCTTAATGAGGAGTAGCCTGAGATGAAATGAGTTTAGATATATAGGATCTCCGTTGGATTGTCTCTACACAACCTTTCTCCTTTCATGGAACCTGTTTCTCCCCATGGTGTATGGAGTAGCTGAGGATGTTGAAATGAGAGAAGAGACATCTAGAGCAGGGATCTTCAAACCTGGCCCTTTTATGACTTATGGACTTCAACTCCCAGAATTCCTCAGCCAGGCATGCTGGCTGAGGAATTCTGGGAGTTGGTCCACAAGTCATGAAAGGGCCAAGTTTGAAGATCCCTGATCTAGAGAGTTGCTGATGCTCTACTGGGAACTCAACTCAACCAGACACAACTTAGAGCCATGATTAAAGCAATAAGGGTGTGAAACACCAGTACTTCTCTGTCCTTACTGTATCTGTGGTCCTGTTTCAATAACATGATCCCTCTTGGGTAGAAGGGGCTTAGAGAATCCTTTGCAGGGCCATGTGAAAGAATTTGCTCAGCGACTGTCAAACAAAGTCACCCAAATTTGCTCACAGTTGGAGATTGGCCTTGTTGTGGCTCCAGAGAAAGCTGCATTGCTTACCATTCATTTTCAGGCCTGGTTTTAACCTTTGCTGGGTTTGAACTTTAAAGCCCTACATGGCATGGGACTGGGTTGAGGGATTGCCTTTCCTCAATTACATCTTCCTGTCCCACTAGATCTAGTAGAGAGGTCATGTTGTGCATTCTATCATTTAAGGAGATACATTTGGGAGGCCCTAAGTGGTGAGAATTCTTAGCTGTCGCTCCCGGTTTGTGAAATATCCACCCTCCTCTGAGATTAGGCTGGCATCATTGCTCTTGGCTTTCTGAAGGTCCTCAAAACGTAGTTGTGCTCTTGGGCCTGGAGACTCCAGGGAGTGGCAAATTAGTGAAGTGGCACTGTTATTATTAACATCCTTTTGAATATTATTTCATGAGGAGGATGTTTTATATTTTTTAATGTTTGTAATAATAATAGTTGCTGTTATTTATGAATTATTGTTTTTAAGCTTTATTGTATGTTGCCCAGAGTTGGTTGTAGTGTGAGGTGTGGAGCTATACAGGTAGTTCTCAACTTACAACAGTTCATTTTGTGTCCATTCAAAGTTTTAATGGCATTGAAAAAAGTAACTTATGACCATTTTTTCACACTCATGACCATTGCAGCATTCCTGTGGTCATGTGATCAAAATTCAGAAACTTGGCAATTGACGCATATAAATGACAGGTCCAGTGTCCCAAGATCACCTTTTGCAACCTTCTGTCAAGCAATGGGGAAGCCAGGTTCACTTAACAACCATGTTAGTAATGTAGCGATTCACTTAACAACTGTGACAAGAAAGGTCATAAAATGGGGCAAAATTTACTTAACAACTGCCTCGCTTAGCAATAGAAATTTTGGACTCAATTGTGGTCATAAGTAGAGGACTACCTGTATAAATTTGAAAAACCAAACAAATAATTTTGCCTTGAATAACAGGCTTAGCTGCCTCTCATGCTTCCTGACTAACATTGGTAACTCAGTTGTTAAACAAAGCGGTTGCTAAGTGAAATTGACAATGCTTATGATCTTACTTTTTTTCTTCATTGTACAGACCTCTGAAAATCATAAAGGTGAGGATCATTACATCATCATTAAAACTGTGAACAGTTGCTAAAGAAGGCAGTCACTAAACAAGGACCACCTTGTCTGTCTTTCCTAGTAATTGTTGAGCATTGTTATATCTGCAGTCTATAACAAGCCATCTCAAATGCTACCTTTATTCGGTGGGTATAAATATTCCGTATCAGTAAGAAAAGCACAAATACTGTTTGGATCCTGAGACCAAATGATTATCAGCTGGCCCTATCAAGGTATCTCTGTATAAAAACCCAGGCTATGTGATGAGTGATTGCTTCACAGCTATCCACTACTTCTATTCCAGAGCACACCTGTCAATTCTGTTTTTCAGTTTCTCATTCTTTAAAAAATATCAAGTTTAAAATTTGGAATATTTTTTTTAAATGTACACACACACACACACACACACACATATGTTTTCGTGCTTCAAGGAGCAAATTACTCCTCGAAGCACGAAGTTGAAAACACCAGCCTGAAGATGACGAATGGGACTTTGTCGAAACGTCAGCAAGACACTTCCAATTTTACGCGGGAGAAAACCCGAACAACCAAAGACCTACATACAAACACCCGCGAAAACCTCTACATTTTATTTCAAAACGCAAAATTAGATCAACTCATGTTGAAATAGAGATGAAATTAATTGTCCACTTCTACATATACTGTCATGTAAAGATACTGTAATGTGCATATCTCCAAACATTAGGAATCCACAACCATGATTCTGCACCTGCTGTGTTTTATAATAACTTGACCTTGCAGGACTTTCCCTCCCCATAAAAGCCCAGGTTGCATTTTGGTTTATACTGAGACCTCGCAAAAGGCACATAATGATTTTTCCCCTCATGTGAGCAAAGAAGCTTGATTATCTTGCTAAGCTATAATGATAGCTTTTCTACTTTCCATATTTTTTCAAGCAGAGATGTTAAAATGCTATTTGGCTCTGGCCATGATATGGAAATTATTATAATTAAAAATAGTAAACTCATTATCAACACCTGTGGTGAATGCAGCATGTGCATATGCCTATCTCACTAGCTGGAGATAAATGACACTTTATGGTTTTGGCTGAAAGAGGGGAAAAAATCAGATATATAACTTATGTGAAGAAAAACTTTTTTCTTAGTTATCTTTTTGTTTTTACACAAAGCATCACAGATTTTCTACACATTCTGATTTCTTTAAACAGCCTACTATTTATACTACTTTTTGATTGTTTTACAATATTTTGAACCAAATAGATAAGCCATACCTTGATTTTCATTCCTTTCTTCCTATTCTTTTAATTGTGTTACATTTTTGTAATATGCCATTCAAATGGACAATAAGAAGTTTGACCTGCAAGTGAATGTTATTTGTTTTGTTTATTTTAACCACCGTGTTAAAATGATTTTATTCTGGAAAGTAATAAGTCTGCCATTAAAATCAAACTTCTTGATGGTGCTAATGTAAGCACATTGATGGCACTATACATTATGATAGCGATATTCCAAGCCACCCCCATTTAACTTTCCATTTGTTTTTATTCTTTCATTAAGAAGAAGGGGGAAAAGCAGGAAAACCAAAGTGTAATATTTTCCACACATCATACCTGGTTAAGTCACCACTTAATGGGCTTCCAATGGCCAAATTTGATTAAATGCTTCTATATAGTTTCTTTCAAAAATAATAATTTTGCCTTAACCGTTACGGGAATGTTCATGAAGTTAAATAAGTTCCCTGAGAAATTCTACAATGAAATCTTGAAATAAACCCAGCTTTGTGGTTGTCTTGGCCAACACAAAACTGCCAAGCATTTTTATGACTATCAGAAATATCCATTAAGGATTTTCAGATTGTCGGTGCAGGGATGTTCTTTATGCTCCCAGTCCCAACTATTTGTCTCCAAGCATCTTCCAAAGCAGAATCCAATCTGGGTCAGTCATGGTGACAGAAGTTTAGTCTTCCGAGATTTCGGACTTATTCTGAAGCCCATCCTCAGAGAACTTCTCTCTCACCACAATGTGTTCCATAGCATCCAAAAGTCTCTGCTTTGGACCAAGGCAATTTAGTCATGTCTGAGTGGGAGGAAGCTACTTCACTGTGAGTCTTCTGGCTTTAACTTTATTAGCCAATTAGATACAGTGGTATCTCAGTACTCATTGTTAATTGGTTCCAGAAAGTGTGATGATTACCAAAAACAGTGAGTACCAAATATTTTTTCCCATAAGGAATAATGTGATGAGTTACAAGGTAGCCAACACCAACATGTTCTAGCTTGTGTGTTGAGTACCAAACAAACCATGAGTACTGGGACAAAAATTTTGTATCAAAATATATTGAGTACCAAATTTGATGAGTTTCAAAGCAGTTGATTACCAAGATACTACAGTACTTTTGAAACACATGATTGGCTAGAATCTGACATGAAAAATGAAGATGCAAAGAACAAAATAGCAATTAAGTAACAGCAGATCAAACTGGGTAGGAAGAGAGTAGGGGAAGATAGCATCAATATTCTGATAGTAGAAGGATTAGGTAAATATTTTTATTTATCTTATTTGTTTATTTATCAAATTTCTGCACTGTACACTTCACCAAAGTGAATCTGGGCAGTTTACAATAAAAATATACAGAAGTATTAAAAGCACAGTTATAAAATAGAAATAAAGACAGAATTAAGAACAAAGTTAAAGATGTTAAAAATACTTTATATGTTATTTCAGGTTTCTTTCTTAGATCACCTTGGAAGTATCTTTCTTTTCTCAAGGAGATTTGTAAAGTGGGGAAAATTCTTAGGTCCATAAACTGTCAGAAAGAGAAAAATTGATGAATGTCACCTTGGAGGACAAGAAAAGCTGACCCAACTTTTCAGGTGGAGAGTGCCTATAATTATTTACATTACCATCTGTATCAATCTGACACCTCACATTTCAGGTAGTAGGAACTATCATTTGAATTCTGTCTCAAAAAGAGGTTTCTTAATTTTTTTAGATAGCCTATCTCCCTGGAGTGTGTCCCAGGAATTGTAAGATTTTTCAGGGTGCCCCTTTGCATGACAGCATGAGCGAGTCCACCCTTGGAGAGAAAAAAATTGAAATATCTCCTTTAAAAGATAATGGACACATTTGCCTGCAGAGCTCTTTAATGGAATAAGAAAGTGGGGAGGAGAGAATGAGTGGAATATCTGGATCTGCAGCATCAGAATCTCTCATGGTTTCTGCCCATCCAATAAGACTGGTCAGAATCAATGCACTGCAGGTCACATCTATTAAAGAATATCATCTACTTAGACCCCAAAAATGTGCCTTCTCTATCATAGCGCCTGCCACCTGGAATAGGATTTCTGCACACCCCAAATCAGATTTACATGGCTCCTATCCTAATGGTGCCCTTCCTTCCTTCCTTCCTTCCTTCCTTCCTTCCTTCCTTCCTTCCTTCCTTCCTTCCTTCCTTCCTCTTTTTTCAGAAGTGGTTTGCCATTGCCTCTTTCCTAAGGCTGAGAGAAAGTGACTCCAAGGTCACCCAGCTAGTTTTATGTCTAAGGCAGGACTAAAATTCGCAATCTCCTAGTCTCTAGGCTGATGCATTAATCTTTAGAACAGGGGTCTTCAAACTTGGCCCTTTTATGACTTGTGGACTTCAACTCCCAGAGTTCTCAGCCAGGCACTCTGGCTGAGGAATTCTGGGAGTTGAAGTCCACAAGTCATAAAAGTTTGAAGACTCCTGCTTTAGACCAAACTGGCTGTTAATGATCTATAACCCGTTAAAAACCTGAGTTTTCCCCAGGCTTTGAAATAAAGTAATTTTGAGATCCTTTTGAGTACATTGTAGTTTGTCATGTCCATATCCAGTTTCTTTTGTCTTTTACTGTTTTTTACCTTTTAAGAATGTAAGAATCATTGTCAGGCAGCCTTTAATGATTTTCCCCCCATTTCCTAAGCACATCTCTGCAATGGAAGAGCCTAACCAGATTAAGAAGTGGAATTGCTTATCTTCTCCCCATTAAAATAGAAAGGAAAAATGTTTTATATTATGCTTCCCCCAAACAGAAATAGAAAAAAAAAAAACCTCTTTCCACCTTCCTCCATGCTGGCTTAAGCAAAAACAGCAATCATTGCATTCATGTACTTCTCCCCCACCCCTCAAAAAACATAACTTCTGCATAGACACTTGCAATGAGTAAGTCTCAGTGAACTATGTGAAAAGCAATAAAGAAATTTATGATTGCCCTGCTCAGCTGGCCAGTTGGCATACATTAGGTACACTGCTGCTCTTACTCCGGCTTTCTTTTTCAACATGACAGTGTTATGTTTACTCTGCTAATCTTGCCAAGATGTTTATTTTATTTTATTTTATTTTGTCCTTCTTGGCAGAATTCTTTTGCCCCAAATCACTTAATGAATGCCATAAATATGATGGGTGACAATTTTTACTTGGTACGCATCTGTACCAGAAAGAAACAAACTGTTCACTCTGCCCATTTTCTCCTGTATTTTATTACATAATCTTTTTCTCTCTCTTTCCTTCATAATAGGCTTAAAACCTTCAAGACTCTTTATCTCTTTTCATGCACAGTACAGTTATTTCTGCTTAGAATTCAATAATATTGTATAATTATAATGAATCTGTATTGAGTCAAGCAAATAGTGTTAGATATTATTATAGGGTAAAAGTTACTCAGGAGTACCACTGTCTTCTTCTCACATACTTCTGCACAGCTTTCATTTATTTATTAACAAAAATGATTATAAAATGTTTTTACCTCCTCTTTGACTGAAAAAGCTCCTGGGGAGTTTATACATCAATCATTATAATCCTGGCCAATATTCTTACAATACAGAAGATGACATAAAAGGAAACAGATGGGAAGAAGAGAAGAAAAGCTCAGACATCAATTCTTAATGTTACAAAATTCTTAATAACAATGAGCTGGTATGGATATACTATAGGGAGAGGAGGAAATTAAAGGCAGCTAGTCTTTAGTTTTGTTCATGGAATAATCCTGTTTTCCAATTCTCAGTCTTGCAGGCTGGCAGAGACTGCTTTAAATTCAGCTTTATTATCTGCAGTAAGCTCTTTATTCCTGGTAGTACTGTAGATAGAAGTTTCTGTTCTTGGCATTTGAATCTGAGGCCCAGGTAGCTTTCCATGAGAAAATTCTGTGTTTGTTGAGTCTTGCCAAAACAGGTTTTTCTTTCTCAGTAAAAGGCAGAAGAGGGGAAAAGAGAATGTTGACAGTCTTAAGCAAGACAAGAAATAACTGCTGAAAGATCATTAAAAAGAGATTCAAGATAGAACTAAGGAGAAATTTCCTGACCCTGAGAACAATTAATCAGTGGAACAGCTTGCCTATAGACGTTGTGGATGCTCCATCAGTGAAGATTTTCAGAAAGGGATTGGACAGTTGTTTGTCTGGAATGGTGTAGGGTCTCCTGCATGAGCAAGACATTGGGCTCGAAGACCTCCAAAGATCCTTCTAACCATATTAGTCTATGTTATACGTTCTAAGCTCCTAGTGAAGTCAGTACCAAAGTAACTCTGGAGAAACCAAGGATTATTGACTCCTGCATGCTAGCCCATAGCAGAGCCTTCCCCAGTGTTGACTTTTTCCCTCACTATCTTATAGCCAGATGTGACTTTTTGTCTCAGTTAAATGGGTATTGAGAAGAGCTACCCCTCTATGTCAACAGGTGAGGTCAAATCAAAATGGGACTTATTTTCTTTAACCACAGTATCTGAAAGCAAATGTGCCCAGATGAAAGAGTTTTTTTTAAATCTGCCTGTTTAGTGACAAATCAGAACATTGTTTTTAAAAAAGGCATCCCACCTGCTTAAGGGGCTGGTGTACTGTGACTGCTTCTTCTAGGTCAGGGGTAGGCAACCTTGGCTCTTTTATGACTCATGGACTTCAACTCCCAGAATTCCAGAATTCTGGGGGTTGAAGTCCATGAGTCATAAAAAAGTCAAGGTTGCCTATCCCTGTTCTAGGTCATGAGATTGGACAGGTGCAGCGGTCTGGAACAAGAGCTGCTTTGAGAGGCCATATGTAATATAGGCAGAGGTTCTCTCTCAAAGCATCTCATCAGAGATACCCTGACATTTTATTAGAAAAGGTTTCCCCTATCCTGTTGTTTCCAACTCTAGGGACAATGCTCATCTCCGTTTCTTAGCCGAAGGAGCCAGTGTTGTCCGAAGATGCTTCCATGGATATATGGCCAGCATGACTATATGCCGAGGCTCAAGGAATGCTGTTATCTTCCTATCGAAGTGGTGCCTATTTATCTACTTGCATTTACACGCTTTTGAACTGCTAGGTTGTCAGGAGCTGGGGCAAGTGATGGGAGCTCACTCTGTCATGTGGCATTCTGTTCTAAACCTAGGCTGTCAGCTTTCCAGTTGACAAGCTCATCATCTTGACCCATCATACCTCCCTGGCCTAGCAATAAAAAATATACAACAATTTCCTTGGATTGTTTTGCCATCTGATATGTTTCCTAAACAAAGCTAAATGCACTCATTTAATTTCCCACATTTTTAACCACATATGTTCGGACTAGAAATCTGAAGCCCATGATCTGACAGATTAAATCAAATCTGGCAAATCAAGTCACTATTTAAAGTCATCTTCTACTAGGTAAGTTGCTAGTACCAAGAAGAGAGGTCAAAGGCCTTGAAGTTGTGTCTGAGTACTGAACCTTAGACTAAAAACTGATAAGCACATAGATTATCTTTTCATAGTCTTTCTTGGTATATACTGAGACATATCATCTTTCTATTACAATTATAGTTAATATAGTAAATATAGATATTATTGAATTACAATTATTTTTAAATATCCAGACTTATTTATCAATTAAGATATGCACAGCAGATTGCTTTTTTGTCCTCCTTTTGGTGTCAGCAGTGTGGTACAGCTGCAAAGAAAAACGACAGTATAAGCTGCAGGAAGATAAATTTCAAACTAATGAGAAATAATTACTGCATAATATTGTCCTTTGCTCAGATTCTACCTCAAGTACTATGTGCAGTTTTAAGTACACATCTTAAGAAGGACTGGGGAAAAAAACTTAAAAAGTTGAAGAGAAAGGCAATGAAGATACTTTGGGAGCTAGGAAGTAAGACTTACAAGGAGACTGAAGAGGCTGGATACTATATGTTTAGCCTTTAGAAAAAAAAATGATTGGGGGGAGATTGTAGTAGCGGCTGTCAAGTACCTGAGACAATATCACAGAAAAGGTCATTCATTCCAGAATTCAGAAGGCAAAATAATGGATTTAAGTTACAGGAAATCAGATTCCAGTTGAATGTTAGAAGAAACTTCTGACTTGTAAGAGCAATTGAATGTGGTACATGTTCAAATAGAGACTAGATACCTGTCTGGCAGGAATGCTTTAACCTAGATTTCTACATTGAGAAAGAGATTTAATTTGTTGACCCAATGACCTCTTTGAGTTCTATGATTCTATGAAAATTGTAAATCATGGCCTTTAATTTTGCTTAATTTTGCTTCTTAAATCAATAAGCTAACTGCACCAATTCTTCTGACTCTCCCTCTAATAATTGAAGCAATGCTGCATGTATGAAAAAAGAAGGGATCCATTGGGAAAAATATTTTGCTAGCAGACCCCCATTTACAAAATTAAGAAAAGCTTTCTTAAAGAGATTACTGGAAGTTGAAGGTCAAGCAGTAACAACACCCTGGCCCATAAGCCCGGTAGAGCAGATGACCGGAGGTCAATACATTCTGCCTGCATGACACTTATTATCAAGTAGAATTACAATTACAAAACCTCAGCTTTGTCTTCTGGTGCCCATATTTAAGCAGAGAGGTGAAAAATCTTGTAAATCACACTGAATCATTTGTGATGGTTAAGATGTCTTGTTCAGATTCATTACTTTCCACTTTCTAGTTAGAAAATAGTATTTACTTTCTTTACAAATAATAATTAAATTGTTATTTTAACATTACTTTGAAAATGTCAAGGGTTTAAAATAGGTAAATACAGCCTTTCTATTGCTGTGGTTTATTTGCCTATGTATCTATTTTACAGGAGGACAATAGATAAGCAGACAGCTAAATATAAGCAATCAAACAAGCTAGGCAGCAAAAAAAAAAAAGCTTCACGATATTAAACATTAGAACATATAAAAATGAGCAGAATTCCCCAGAATATAATTATTTTAATTTTAATCAGAACCAATAATCCTCCCATATTTTGAAACATTCTTCAACAGGATTTCAGCTAATTACATTGGCACTCTGGAGTAGATTTTCAAAAACAAACAAAACCCGTCTGTGTAATACCTGAAAAACATAAGGATATGTGTCCACGTGTGTGTAATGGAAAATCACATTAGGGAGTAAACTGATAGTAACACAAAT